GCACCCAAGCACCCCTACCCCCATCCCTCCGTCAGACATGGATAGAGCAGAGATATTCTTCTCCTCTTTGAACACTACCCCATCTCTCTCTTACATGGTGACAGTGCAGGCATCGTGGTGCCCTGGCAACCCTTCCATATCTCAAACACAGTAAAAGCATGACTGCCATGCTTAAATAATGGTGCCCTGCAGTACGTGTCACACTTGCTGACATCGTGACAGGCAGACATACAGGTGGCATGCACCTGCAATCACATAGCCACAGTAACTGCGCTGTGTAATAGTTGGGAAAGTGTGCCGTTGTTCTGGCAAGTTAGTTTAGGCGCAAGTTAAGTAAAGCTCAAGGTTAGAGCTAATTCGTCATTTCTCGTTCTCATTTAAACTCAAAGGTATATAGAGCTACACTCAGTGAATTTGACATGCTAACCTTTCAATGTATTCAGCTTGCATTACAGCTGAGTTATATCAAACAGGTAGTTTAAGAGCGAGTCAAGTGAAGCTTAGGGTTAAAGCTACACTCTGACAGTTCCCATGGATAAATACCCCTTCCAGGCCCAACTTTTGTGACTATGCAAGTAAATTGCACCTGTCGTAGTTTTGTACTACGGATACGCAATTAGATACATAACTGGTAGAGTATGTGACAAGTACGTCTATTCAGCAGAACATGCGTGTCTCACTGTATCAACAAGTGCTGCCATCTATCGACCGTGACATATAACATAACTATGACAGCACCCGATAAAAAACAACCGATAAAGAATAGTAAAGGCTGTCCGTTGCCGCTTCTGCAGGTCGTATCAACCAGTGCTGCGCTACTCGTATAACTCCACGGCTGACTGGCAGGAGGCGCTACTCATCGTCACTGTGGTGGGCATCGCGACGGACGTGCGCGTTGACAACGTCACCGGTGGATGCTCGCGACTCGCCGAAGACAACGCTGAATTTGCCTTCACATTAGCGCCTGGATTTGGTAATTGAGAGCGAACGTTACCGTGCATAGTCTCGTTCAATGTAAAGTGTTCATTTCATATATAATTTAAAATTTAATAGTTCAATGTAAAATTTTCGTTTTACGATTTTTTCATATCCACGTCAACTTGGTGTAAGAAATGGTATGCCTTCACGTAACCACGCAGACTCGGTACCCATGAATGATTGTATCTTAATTGTTAATTACCACGTATAGTTTTGTCAAATACAAACTGGTTATTTTGTTTGTCTGCAGTGAACTGATGTCATATAAGTAACATTGTTTCTGTTACATTTTCATATATAACTTGGTAAATATATAAACTGTAAATTTGGGTTGCACATATCTACCTGGACAAAGAACACATGCATTTTCAAAAATGCTACCACTAATGGCATACGTTTCTACATTCCACACGTAGACACAGCGTGGGTTTCCAACGAAACCCTAGAAATGGATGCAAGGTGCGTGTATGACTTCACCCTGCAGCTTGGACAAGCCAGCTCAGACGGCAACGCAAGCACCACACTGACGATAGACTCACTGCTGCTGCTGCCAAACACAAGCAATTTCACTGTGTATCAGCTGGCAGGTAAGAGATAGGTTGCCTCTTGTGTCTCAACCTAGTGTACCATGTGCATTTCTGACGAGAAGCATGCGCATATGTTTACACTTCGCCCGTAAACCTATATTGTAAGGACAGCTTCGTTGCCACTTACATCTGGTGCTTTTCCATCCATTGTTACAACAGTACAGTAATACATAACATACCCGCATACATATTACATAACATACATAATATACATTAACATGGCCGCCACATTTGTATGTGTATGCAGACGACGATCAGCAATAATATATACTAACATGGCCGCCACATTTGTATGT